CTCTTCAGGTGGGATTTGGCAACAGTTTCTCACCTAACAGTAGCGCTAAAGAGAACTGCCCACACCAGTGAGGATCCCTCTGCAGAATCTCTCTCCCTCCAGCTATCTACCCCTGCACTGGACATAGACAAAAATGTCTGTGAAACCCTGCCCTCCCCTCCCTGGTCTGCCCCTTTCTCCACACTGATCTCTCCCCTCAGAGCCTCCACAGCACTCAGTTTCATGTACCTATGCCACATGCACCTCATGCATCCCCAAAACTGTGAGCTCACTGGAGAGCAGAGGCCGTGCTTCTGGCCAGCCCTAGGAGTGTGCACAATACTGGGCACACAGCAGATCTTGAAAACCTGGGTTGACTTAGGCCCAGTTCCCAAAGCCAGTCCTCATTCCCAAAAAATAAAATAAACACTGCAAGATTATTATAGGGTGTGGCAGGCACTCCTTGGGCCAACTAGCACGCTCTCTCCTGAGGGCTTCAGAATACAGCAGGCACCCTTCACTGCTACACTGGCATAAGGGACACTGAGGACACAGGACAGAATGGCAAACAGGCACACAGAATGTTGGGTAAGTCCTACTGTTGTCCCCATGCCAATCAAACACCAAACAGTAGCAGTGAGGCCACCAAGATGAGCTGTTCTCACATGTTATCTGGTAGTTACCAGTTTTCCTCTGGAACTCATCCCCCCAACTCTAACAAAACTCTGGTGCCTGAGAATTTCTAAGTGACAGGGCTGTGGCCTGTGAAGCCAACATGGGCATTAGCTTAGAGTCATCTGCTACACTGCTAAACAGATAAATGGGCAGGAGAGAAAGCTGCTGTCATCATCCAGCCTGGAGGAGGTCTAAGTTCCAAAACTGGTCAGTCTCAGTAGCAGACAATAATTTCTCCAACCTTATAGCATCACTGTTCAGTTTATTCTGGTTTCATTTTTTTATTGTGATTATGCCAAGTACACAGATTACTTTAAATACATATTAAAGAAAAAGAAAATAAGCACTTGGGGGCCCACCACCCTCCACTAACTAAATGCTCTTCCTCCCCCAACTTACTCATTATCCTATCTCTATCCCCCTAGTGATGACCCTTCGCCTGAATGCAGGGTTAATTATACCCTCTACTTTTTATACTTTTACCACTTATGAAGGTATCCATTAAAATATATGGCTTGGGGCCCTCCCTGGTGGCGCAATGGGTTAAAGCACAGCACTAAGAAGCTTAAGCCACTTCTGCATGAGTTCGATCCCCGCCTGCCCCGGAGGAGACCACATGGCACGGCAGACCTCTCCTGACCCTCCCGCTGCTCCCCTCAGCAGTGTACTTCCTCGATCTGCCTGTTCTGCTCCCCACTCTGTCTCTGGTGAATCCTGTCACCCTCCGCATCTCTGGCCTGTACCCCAGTTCTGTACGAATAAATAAATAAATCTTTTAAAAAATATACATATGGCTTAATTTTACATTTTTAAAACTTTCTATACATCTATACTTTAAAACATATACATTGGTTTTGTTTCTGTGACCTGCTTTTCTTGTTCCACATTATATTTATGAGATTCCACCATACTGATACAACTATCTTTCACCCACTTTTATTACAGAACTTTTACTGCAGGTCTATACCACAATTTATGACATCAATGCTTTCCTTACGCAGCCAGACGCATCTGTCTAGCTGCAAATCGTCTGGCTACAAAAACATCATCTGTCTACAAATACAGATCATGGATTGTGGATGGTGACTCCATGCTGCCTTCCATGCAGCAGACCAGGTGATTAAAAAAAACTGGATTAGTTTTGCCTGATGATTCTTTTTCTTTTCGTCCCTAAAGATTCATTTTTATTTATGCATGCATGCAAGAACGGGTGTAGGCCAGAGGGGCAGGGGACTGAGAGGGTTCACCAGAGATAGAATAGGCAAATAGTGAAATACACTGCTGAGGGGAGCAGTGGGCAAGATGGGAGAAGACTGCTGATCCATGTGGGTGACCTCTCTGGCTGGGATCAAACTTAGGCAATAGTGGCTGTGGCTGGTGAGAACTTGATAGTACTGAAACTTTAATGCCTTCACCACCAGGGAGGCCCCTGTCTTATTATTCTTAAGAAGTGGGAAAGATCCCACTGAGAGAGGGAACTTGAAAGTCTTGCTTCCCAAGCAAAGAGTGGCTCCACTGAATGAAGTTGGGTAGAAGAACGTCTAAGATAAACCTCTTTTACATTGTCAGCTTCATGGCTTCCTAAATAGGGAAAGAAGAAGAAAAGGCTGCTCTGACATTGCAATTTTCACCTTCATAGGCATGTCAGAGCACTCTCAACCATGGGGAATAGCACCTAAGTGCAAGAAAAACTGACCATTCAGACAGCAAAAGCTAAATTTTTAGTCTGGAAGGAAGAAACCCATTATTTGTCCTGCCCTAGGAAACCAAGGATTGTCCTCTGATGTTTGGATTCATCAATCACCCTCCTTAATATGATCCCTGATCGGAATGTATCAGTAACACCACACTGCTCAGGTTTGGGGGTGGGGTCCAGGGCACAACAGTCACTCTCCAGGTGCAAAGAAATTCCCACCACCTTCATTGAGCATTTCCAGCTTGAAAGGTCCCCAGACTGATATAGCTTATCTCAGCTAATTCCCATGTTAACCCAGTAAAACAGATGAATTCCTTACCATCCTAATACATGAGATGGGGATGTCCACCTGAAAAATGAGGTACCATGATGTTCAGTGACTTGTCCAATATCACTGAATAAGTAAGTGACAAACCAGGACTCAACCTGTATCTTCTGGTTTACAGGCTCCTCACTATCTATACCACACATTGCACTGCACACGGACCTTTGTGAAAGCAAGGGGAGACAGGGCTCTTAGGGTGCAGAAGATACTGCCTTTGGGTGATACTTTCAAAAGTGTTTCCTGCTGAACTGCAGCAGGTTCCATGTGAACACAGAATAAATATTTAGATGGCCAAAGCCACATGTGGAAAAGGCTACAGGAGCGAGACAGACTGAGGACCTGCAAGCAGCTGAAATTACGTGGCAGTCCCTTCGCTCACCAACAGTGAAGTAGCACTGAATGTCCACACAAGTTACAGGCAAGAATGCATCTGAGTTTCTGTGGCAGTTAGGCTACCGTTTGAACAATCAACAACTTTCAACACAAACAATAATAAAGGAGGACTGTAGGGATATATGCATTCCAAGGTCTATCAACTAGAGAGCAACATACATCTAGAATTTATGCACAAACTTGTTAAAGACTGAACTCTGCCTTAGTGACATCAGTTGTATCTGACACACACTTTCCAAATAAGCTAGATGGCAGATACCAGCCCCACAGTGAAGAAGAGTGAAATGCTTAAGTATTCCACTCCCCAGCTATTTGCCACGGAGGAGATTCTGTTTGTTTGTTTGTTTGTTTGTTTGTTTGTTTCTAGTTGCAAGTACCTATCATTTCCCTGTTGACGAGATTTACCAATATATTGACAGTTGTTACCCTGAGAAACTCACCCAGTCAGTCGCAGAAAAGTGCAACTGGCCTTCAGGGTGTGAGATGACACCTTTGCAGATGCACGGAGCAGAGAGAACAGGGGAAAGGCAATTGGGCTTAGAGATCCAAACATGCATCCCTTTTAACCCCAACACCTGCTGGGCACCGCAGGTCACATGCCCTTAAAACAACCCAATTCAGGCCCTCCCTGGTGGCGCAGCGAGTTAAAGCACTGCACTGAGAATCTAAAGCCACTTCCGCATGAGTTCGATTCCCGCCGGCCCCAGAGGTGACCACATGGAGTGGCAGACCTCTCCTGACCCGCCTGCTGCTCCCCTCAGCAGTGTACTTCGTCGATCTGCCTGTTCTGCTCCCCACTCTGACTCTGGTGAAGCCTCTCACTGCCCCTGCACCTCTGGCCTGTACCCCAGTTCTGTATGTATAAATAAATAAATCTTTAAAAAAAAAAAAAAAACCAATTCAGAGGGGCCAAGGGATCTCTGCAGGGATCTTTCAAGATGCTTGGGGGTATTAGTTGAAATCATATTCTGCTTTTCAAACATTATTCCTGGGGATTTGTTTGGGAATAACCTGCTCACCACAGATTAAAATAAAGGTTTACAACAAACCACATGCATGTGCTTCTTTTACTCAACATTTTTGTACACTGTAATAAACAACAGTTTTTGTACATTGTAATAAGCAATAAATGAGTCTTAGGTGTACTATGGTGGTGGGAGAACTATACCTGAGGGGAGAATTCAAACACTGTCCAAAACTAATGATGATGTAAGAAAATAAATCTATTTAATATAAAAAATTAATTAAACAAATGGGTCTTCACCACCTCCCCCATTTCTCTAATAAACTTAAAGCAATTTTCCTGTCTGAGAATTCAGTTGCTGAAGCTGCAAGGTTTCACCATTAACAAAGGGATAATATGGGCACTTCAACAAGTGAAATAAAGTTACTCATGATACATGTAACAAGAATAATATAACACTGACTCTAGATGCAGGAGGTCTTAGCCAACAGGCCAGAGGGAACCATGGACGAGAACCCCCACCCCTCACCAAACAGAAATACACAGATTTTTCTAATTTCACACACAAAGCACAAACAGAAATACACAAATTTTCTAATTTCACACACAAAGCACCACTGCTTGAAACATTCCTATGTGTATTCTGGCAGGATAACCTAGCCCCTGCACCTGACATATAAAAAAGCAGTCCAGTTCTGTTCAACAGTTCCTCCTATCCAAATAATCAACTTAGCCAATCTCTGACAAGGAACCTAGGGAACCTCTGACCTTCCAAGAATCCTGGGTTTTTATACTCCCCTCTGGGCCTCCTTGACATACTGCGTCAGTTATAAACTTCTGGAAATTTCCAGCAGCTATTAACATACTGTTCCTCACCACTTCCCAACATTTTTTTTTTTTAATAGCTTTAAGCACCTTCCCAGCTCCTCCTCATCCCCAAGGCAAAGGGGGAGAGGGCAGGTTCTTACCGGGATCTGCCACCAAAGCAGTTTGTGCTGGGGGGCTGGTGCCGGTTCTCCGGGGCGACAGCTGTCCCAGTGGATTCTCTCGAAGGCGGCTGTGATCCTAGAGAGGGGATCCATCACAAGAGAAGACAGAGATGTTGAGACTCAGCCCTTGCTTCAGATGTGGCTACAGGGACAGAGCTCACTGTGTACTAGAATTACCACCACCTGGAATACCAACAGTCTAGCAAGCTGCAGCCGCCAACATGAGAAGAAACAAGGACAGTTGGGTGACATCTGATCCAGTCACAGAACAGCGGGGTTTGAACCTGGGAAACAGCTTTTTTTCTCCAAATCCATCAGAAATATAGAAGGCACTTAAGAGCTTACTGGTTTTATACTTTAAGTGAACTTCTCACATCAATGTAAGAGAAAGAATGGATCTGGAACTTGCAAAGTGGGGGCATTTCTCCAGATGGTAAACAGCCAAATCAGAGTCAATTCCAGTCATATCATGATATTCTGCCAAAAACCCTATGCCAGCTTTCTGCTTCTTAAGGTGAGATACAACATCCTTACCAGCCCCTCAAGGTGCAGGATCTGAGCCAACCTGGCTCCCTGGTTTCATGTCCCAGCCATCTGCCTTGTTCCTCACAACCCAGTCACCTCTGTTCCCATTAAAGGTCAAGTCTGTTCCCTCCTCCTTTTCACATGCAACTCATCACCTCTCATTCAACAGCCCTTTACCCCAAACTCCCACCACGCCCTGTCTAAATTTTTCATTCTCCAGCAGTCTCAGCTTCCCCAGAGAAACCTTCCCTGATGCTCCAAATACAGATGAGCTGCTCTTTAAGTACAGGAATTTCATACCACCCTGCACTCCTCCATAGCTTGTGCCACCAGTTAAAGAACAATTTGTTTGTTAAATGTCTAACATCTTCTAGCCCTGACAAGTAGGTATAAGCTCCCGGGAACAGAGACCACATGAACTTTGCCCACTGCCATCTGGCTAACACCTGGTCCAAGATCAAGTGCATACCAGATGCTCACTTATGGATACATGTGTTGACTGTGAATGATGCAGACTTTTCTCCAAGAACCCAAAAAACCCAAGCACCACTCAGCCGGTGGAGGCTGGATTCTCAGCAGTCAAGGCCCATCCAATCACTGTAACATGCTGTCACCCAATTGCACTTGAATTTAATTTCACCCCTTTCAGCTACAGAAAGCCTATTTGGAGCCTGAAAAGCACCAGTTACATCACATTTAATGAGAAAAATTATGGAGAAACCCAACCCATTTCAGATCTCAGACTTCATGAAATAATTTCCTGCTAGATCCAAAGGTAACTAATTTCAGACTAGATCAAAGAAACAAAATGCCTGTATTCAAGACAAGAAGGGAGCACTCTACAACTTCCCTGCTTCCCTGTATTAAGTTAGGGTGAATCTCTGTAAGACATAATCCCCTTTCCCAACCAAAGCTGCCCCATAAAATATACCCTCAACTTTCCCAGGAAGCTTAACTATACTGGGGAAAAAAGCAACCATTAATAAAGATTTTTTTTTCTAAAGTTCCTATATGATGAAAAGATTTTTTCTCTGCTCTCAAACCAAGACACAACACACTTACAAAAGTTTGACATTTATTTTGGTCCTTTATCAAAACACAGTCCTTCAAAACATCATCGTGATTCTGACCCAGGATGCTAATAAGAGTCTGGGTGTATTATGGGCCAGGACCAGCTGAAGGGTACCCCAACCCAGAGGCCTTGCGCAGAACCAAGTTTCGGGCACCTCCTCCTATTTTCTATCCCTTACCCTGCCCTGCTCCATCCTGGCACAGCCCTGGGGAGCAGGGCGGCACTCACCCTCCGTCACGGCACTGCCATTAGGCACGCTTCCCGTATCAACAGTTGGCCCGTCCAGGAAAATTGTCAGCTCACCACCCGAGACAACACCGCCTTTGTTCTCCGTCTGCAGGTTCAGGGTCAGCTGTGTGTTCTCCACTGTTAGACACAAAAGGCAACATGGATGGACTAAAGCAAATGCACCCCTGAGTTAAGATTCTGTAAATAGCAAGGTCCCATCTCACCTACTCTGGCTTCCCTGGCAACACTTTACCATATCTTCAAATTTGTCTTGCAGCACAGACCAAAGGGCAGGAAGGGCTATATGTCATTGTCAGCACTGTTGGTGGGAAAGACTGCTCTTTGCATTCCTTGATATTTTATGTCATGAGGTTAGCTAATTTCTACATTACTTATATTTGAGGGCCCTAATTAGAAATAATGATGGCTCACAGAGAAAAGAGAAGTAGTTTCATGTAATATCCTCTCTTCTGATATAAAAAAAGTTGGCAAAAGTGAAGTAAATTGGTCAGGACACCTGAAGGAAACGTCACTAGGTGTCATCTCTAAATGAATGACTGCGTAGGCTTATTCTTTTCTTAAGTGCATTAAAAGTGAGTGTCTTTAAAGTTTTCCTGACTAAAAAAAAGGAGAATGGAGTTAGCACATTCTCAGACTTCAAACTATACTACAAAGCCATAATAATTAAAACAGTGTAGTACTGGAACAAAAACAGGCACACAGAACAATGGAATTGAAATCCAAACTAAAGTCACACATATATGGACAACTAGTCTTTGACAAAGGAGCAAAGAACATGCAATGGAACAAGGACAATTTGTTTAATAAATGGTGCTGGCAAAATTGGAATGAAACTATAGTACTACCTCACACTATGCACAAAAATCAACTCAAAATGGATAAAAGAATCAAACATAAGACCTGAAATCATAAACTATATAGAAGAAATTATAAGTAAAACACAAAATGATATACATCTCAATAACATCTTTAAAGACTCATTCCCCAAAGCAAAGAAAGTTAAGAAAAAGATCAATAGCTGGGATTACATCAAACTAAAAGCTTCTATCCAACCAAAGAGATATTAGCTAAAACAAAGAGACACTCAGCTGATAGGGAGAAAATTTTTGCACTCCATTGCTGGTAAAAGACTACTCACAAAGATCTACAAATAACTCACATGACTCAACAAAAACAATCCAGCCAAAAAATGAGTAGAAGAGCTAAAACGACACTTCTCCAAAGAGGAAATGCAAATGGCCAACAGGTATATGAAAAAATGTTCAACATCCCCCATAATCAGGGAAATGAAAATCAAAACCACAATGAGATACCATCTCTAACACTAGTGAGAATGACACATATTAAGGATGTGGAGAAAAAGGAACAATCCTATACACTGGTGGGAATGCAAACTGGTCCAACCACTATGGAAAGCTGTGTTCCTCAAACTACTAAAAATGGAGCTCCCACATGACCCAGCAATTCCACTGCTAGGAATCTATCCAAAAAGATAGATTTCCACAAAACATTAATCCAAAAAGATACCTGCACCCCTATGTTTACTGCAGCACTAATTACAATAGGGAAGATGAGGAATCAACCCAAATACCCAAAAACAATGACAGGATCAAAAAGATGTGTTATATATACATAATGGAAGACTATTCACCAATCAAAAAAGATAAACTCATGCCATTTGCAGCACCATGGATGGAGCTAGAAGGTTATGCTCAGTGAATTAAGCCAGAAGGAAAAAGAAAAATATCGATGCCTTCACTTGTAGGAGGAAAATAGGGGAATCAAATAAAGGATCAGGGAAAAAAAATAGTAACAAAAAAAATGGCAGTCAAATATAAATCAGAAACACTGCAGGGGACAGGAAGGGAAAGGGATCAGAACAGGGGAGGGAAGAACACGGGATTATGGCAATGGTACACAGGTGAATTGGTGGTAGGAATTCTATGGGGACAACACCTGAGAAGAGAAAGCAAACATTGTACAAAAATGAAAAATTATGTAAAATATATATAAATAAATTATATATTTTTTAAAGTGGGTATTTTTTTTCTATCCTAAAAATGTTTCATAAAGAAAGTTTTAAGCCATATAAGTTCAGGGTCTCCCTGGTGGGGCAAACAGTTAAGTCTCAGCACTATAAAGCTATCCATAGTCACTGCAGCACAAGTTCAATACCTGGCCAGGAAGCTAATCTATATGGTACAGCAGACCTCTCCTATCTCCCCTCAGCAGTGTATTTTAGTAGATCCACCTGCTCTGTGGTGAATACTCTCCACATCCCCCTACCCACCTCTGGTCTACATCCCAGATACTGCATGCATGAATAAATAAAATCTTTTCTTTTTAAAGATTTATTTATTTGTGCATACAGAACTGGGATACAGGCCAAAGGCTCAGGGGTGGTGAGAGGCTTCACCAGAGACAGAGTGGGGAACAGAACAGGCAGATCGACGAAGTACACTGCTGAAGGGAGAAGAAGGCGGGTCAGGAGAGGTCTGCCACGCCATGTGGTCACCTCCGGGGCAGGAGGGAATCGAACTCATGTGAAAGCGCTTTAGATTCTCAGTGCTGTGCTTTAACCCGCTGCACCACCAGGGAGGGCCTAAAATCTTTTTTTTTTTTAAGCCATAAAGTTTCAAAACAGGCAAACCAGCCCCACAGTACCAGGGTCCTTGGGTAGTTAGGAAGAGGAGACCAGTCAAAGCCTAGTTCTGTGCTGGAGGTAAGCAAATGGCTTAAACACCCAGCCCCACCCCTCCCCCACCCCAGCCACTGGGACATGAGGCAAGTTTGATTTTGTTGATAAATAGAAAAGTCAGGAAATCAACACACAAAAACAGAACAGCCTAACATGGGACAGAAGCCCCAAACCCTGTGTGGGATGGAAACGGTTGCCACCTACCCCATCCTTAGCCCTGAGCTTACTCACACAACAACTCCTATATAGTTACTGCTCAGGAGCTATAATCTCCAGCTCAGAGCTATTCAATAGTCACCAAGGGGGAGCAGCTGTATATGAGGATTTCCAAAGGGTATGCGTTCCCTCCGTGCCTCTCACACCTTACAGAGCCAGCCCAGCAAGTACCATATATTAGAACCTCACTCCCCACCCATCATCCACTTTTTTTAATATTTTAATTGCTAGTATGTTACTATAAGTTATCTCATTGTTCTCTAGAACCAGACAGGACATGTGTAAGTATCTCTACAAATACTTTTTAGAGACAACCAGCCACTACCACCAAAAAAGCCTGTCCCGAGTCTCTCTAAGAAACAGGCATTATTGCTACATTCTTCAGAATGTAGGGGAGAAACCTCTGGATCCAGGTAAGGATCTACTATTAAAGAGTAGGCACCAGTTGCATATCCCTGAGGTTTTCAAGTTTCCCTAAGCATCTCTACCTTCCCTTTATTTCTCTCCCCTGTAATGGACTGCTCCAGAGCCTCCTGAGTTTGTGACTATTAATAGCCACTTTTACTGAGGGACTTAGTGAGTTCTATAAATTTCTGTATGATACCAGTAATCTGAAAACTAGTTCCTTCAAAAAATCAAGGAAAGGGAAAAAAACCACTTGCCAACCATGTGCAGGGACCACCTTGGAAGTGGAACCCCTGCTCCAGTCCAGCCTTCAGTTAATTGCAGCCCAGATAATGAGAGCCTGGAGTCTCATGAGCGATCCCAGGTCAGCCTGCCTAGCTAAGGTGCTCCCAAATTCTGACCCATTGAAATAATGAGATATTTGCTACTACTAATAAAATTTACTCTGGTTATTACTTTTTTTTTTAAGTCACTAAATATCATCTCCCTACTCCATTATGTTGAGATCCAGGGCATACATCCCTAGCAGGAGGTCCAGCACAGAGGTTACCCAGTCCAGCTAAACTTAGTTCAAATCTTGGTTCTATAATGTAGTAGCTGTGTAGCATTAAGCAAATTACTTAACCTGAGCATTAGTCTCCCTACCTGCAAAACAGAAGCAGTAAGAGGACATGTTTTAGGGGACACCTGTAAAGAACTAAAGTCACCCAGTAAGTTTCCAGGAAGCCGTCATTTTTATTTTCTCCCTGCTGATGTTCCTGTTTTTAGGCTGGAGACATGATTTCTGTTGATATAACTTGGTCCAATCTTCTCTTGCCCTTGCCAAGATTTTTAGGTTGCAGCAACAGATGACACAAAATCATCCAAGGTAAGCCACGCAACCAGCATGAGGACAAACATCCTGTTGTTCTTGTTTCTAAGATACTTCCTACAGAGGCCTGGCTACCTAGAGTCACTACATGGCTGTTGGAAACGTGCTGGGATGAACATTGTAAGGGTTCCTTGATTCCTTTCTTGTTATCTCAGGCAGATCATCATTTTACAAATAGACAATTTTTTCCCCTTCTTCTAGGAGTGATGATGCAGAAGGTAGAAGAACCCAAGATCTCTCTCTCTGGTAATGCCAACCTGCTGACACTACATCAAGATCCTCAGAAAGAAGCCAGAGTAATAACCTGGGTTTTTCTCTCCACAGTCTCATCTCAAGGCTCCAACCTACCTCTCCTGTCTAGTTTACCCACAAACTGTGTCCAGCAGAGTCATTGCGTACTGTTAGGCCCCAAAGTTATCTTGCAACTCTTTGAGACAACATCTGACCTTCAAAAAGAGACGGAGGGAGGAGCTAAACTTTACAGAAGACTATCACTCACTGCTATAGTATTTATTAAAAAGAGTCAGAAAGAGGCCCTCCCTGGTGGCGCAGCGGGTTAAAGCACTGCACTGAGAAGCTAAAGCCACTTCCGCATGAGTTCGATTCCCGCCTGCCCCGGAGGTGACCATATGGTGTGGCAGACCTCTCCTGACCCACCCGCTGCTCCCCTCAGCAGTGTACTTCCAGTGTACTTCGTCGATCTGCCTGTTCTGCTCCCCACTCTGTCTCTGGTGAAGCCTCTCACCGCCCCTGAGCCTCTGGCCTGTACCCCAGTTCTGTATGTACAAATAAATAAATCTTAAAAATATATATATATATAAAAAAAAAAGTCAGAAAGAAAAAAAAAAGTCAGAAAAGATTACTTACCATTGAGGTAAGTAATCAAACTGAGCATTGCTAAGAACAGGACACGCTGATACCAATATG